TTTCTTTCTTTCTTTCTTTCTTTCTTTCTTTCTTTCTTTCTTTCTTTCTTTCTTTCTTTCTTTCTTTCTTTTTCTTTCTTTCTTCCTTCCTTCCTTCCTTCCTTCCTTCCTTCCTTCCTTCCTTCCTTTCTTTCTTTCTTTTCTTTTTTTTACCTGAGCGGTTAGAAAGCTTAGGAATTCATCCCCCGACTCCCATCTGTCACAGGCCAAGGGCTGGTCCCAGGGCATCAACTCCCTGGCATTTCAGGCTTGCCCCAGGAGAGGGCTGAAAGAAAATCCTCAGGCAGAGAATGAGTGGGGCTTGCAGAAGGCAGCTACCCCATGTGCTGTAGAACCATAAGTGTGGAGGGAACATGAGTGAAACACCAACAGCATCAGCTACAGCTAAGTGTCCACTGGTGGAGGTGGGCAGTGACTCAGGTTCTCAAAATAAGGGTTTCCTATTTGAAATCCCTTAGCTTACATTTCTGTTGGTGAAAAATTGTCTTTGGTTTCTTATACAGCCTTGTCGTCTTTTCTGTTTATTTCAAGTGCTGTACATTGTTTTACTACTTTGTATTCTTTACAATTTTAAGGAAATATCTTTTTCCTGTTTCCCAATTGCTAGGTTCCTCCATAGTTTCTTGGAGTCCTTGTGGTAGGCAGAATTCAAAGGTGATCCCCAATGACCTTATATAATCTCCTCCCTTTGAGTGGGGGTGGGACCTGACCTGTGAATGTGATGGGATGTCACTCCTATGAGTTTGTTACATTATATGGCAAAAGGCACTTTACAGAGGTAACGAAAGTCCCAAATTGACCTTAAGAGAAAGTTTATCTGGGTGGGCCTGAGCCAATCACATGGCCCTTTAAATCTGGGTCCAGAACTCAGAGACGGAAGAACTCAGAGATTCAAGGCACGGGAAGTATTTGCTGCAATGTTGCTGGCTTGAACATGGAGGAGGCCACATGGAAGGAATACAGGGACTTTCAGGATCTGAGAGCAGCCCCTGAATGGCTGTCAGCAAGGAGACAGGAACCTCAGTCCCACAACTGCAAGGAACTGATTTTTGCCAACAAGAATGAGTTTGGAAGATTTTTACCCAGAGTTTCCATTTGAGAATTCAGCCCAGTTGGCACCTTGACTTCAGCCTTGTAATATGCTGAGCAGAGAACCCAACCAAACACAGGATGCTGGACTTCTCACTGGCAGAACTGAGAGCTAATAAATTGGGGTTGTTTTAAGCCACTTAATTTGTGGAAATTTCTCACACAGCAACAGATAATTAATATAGTCCTTATTGGAGTGATGGAATACATTTGGAGTCCTAAGACTGAGAGAATGGGAACAGTAGGATCAGAAATCAGTGCTGAATTACATTTCAGAGGGCAAGTTCTGCAAAACTTGCCATCAGATATACATGTGTTGGATCTCAGCCCGACCACCTAGCTGTGTGACGTTGAACAATATGCTCAGTTTCTAACTTCCTTACCTATGTATTTATCATAGTTCTTCTCTCATAGGTCTGTTTTATAGATTCACTAAGAGGTGTTTAATAAATATTTGAGTGTTTTTTTGTATCATTATTTAACTCTTCAGCTAGTATGTCTTAGCTCCCCATGCTGAATTTCAAGAAAAAAAATATGGTTTTGATGTGGCCTCTACAGTGTTTCCATAGTTCTACCCTTATCATCATCAATATAGATCATCAAAAATATGGAACAACAGATTCTGATGCCCCCATCAACTTGAGCAGCAGAGTGTTAGAGAAAAAGAAATTGAATGCCAGAACAATGGAGAGATGTGCTTGAGAAATAAAAGGTCCATTTGTAATACTCTGAATTTAATAGGTAGGTTTTTTTTAAAAAGCTAGTTGATATGAAACTCACACATCTCATAAAAAGGAAAAACAGAGGCCATTAGTTACCAGTGGGTCATTGGAATGGATCTCACCAAGGCACCAATCCCTAGTTTTTCCCAGTTGCCCTCTAGGATATGCTCAGGATGGCCCCCCGCAAAAAAGTCCAAAGAGAAGTCACAAGTCATGTTTATATGGGGCTTCCAAATACAATCTCCTCACCATTTCCTGAAATGGGAACAAGCCCGCTGGCTGGCGGTGTGGGAAGGAAGGGCTTTGCTGCCTCTGACTGCCCAGGGCTTGCTCCTCATCACACAGATACCATTTTTATGCTTTTGAGTCCCTTCTGGATTATCGCCAGCTACCTCCTAATTACCCAAGCTACCATCATGTCCCATGGCTTCCTCACTGAACTACCCCTTTTGCCATTGACTTCTAAAGGGAAGTTTCTCTGTTACTGTCACCTCGAGCCTAGCCCGACCTCACTAAGCTAATATTATTATTATTGAGTAATCTCAGCAAATTTCTACGCTGCATTTAAACTGCAAGAGAGAAAAAAAATTTTTTAAGGTAAAGATTTTATTTATTTGAGAAAGAGAGAGAGGGAGAGTGGGGGGAGGGGCAGAGGTAGAGGGGACAAGCAGACTCCTCGCTGAGCAGGGAGGGTCCTGGGATCATGCCCTGAGCTGAAATCAAGAGTTGGACACTCAACCCACTGAGCCACCCAGGTGCCCTGAAAAAATATTTTTTTTTCAAGTTAGAAATGGAACTAAAAAGGAGTGCATATTTAATGGGGTAAACATGAGTTTCTATAACATGACCAATACAGAAACTTAAAAGTTCTATTTTATGTACACCTGGTCTCACTACACATGCCATGAACTCACTTAAATTAGATGTTTATATGCAATTTGGGAGAAATTACAAAAGCCACCCTTGAATCTATAGAACTCAGGCAAAGAAGCTGACAGTAATGTCCAAACCCAATGGCAGTAGGATAGGTGATAAATAAGAACATCAGTTTATTTGTATAGCACTGTTTGTAACTTTGAAGTCGCATGTTTCTTCTCTATCTCTTCCATAGAACTCTAAGCTCCTTGAGTTCATGGCCCATCCATATGTTACTCTTTACTCACCATGTGTCCCCAGTACTTAGCATATAGCTGGCACTCAACCAAATGTTTGTTGACTGACAACTCAGCAGTTGACAGCTTAGTCAATTAATATACTTTTGGAATGTTATATTCATTCTTACAGTTGCATTGTCTCACCTACTTTTCAGCTAAAAAGAAAAAAAAAAAAACCGTGAGACAGGAAGTCCAAGAGACTTCCCTAGACCATGTGGTTAGACACAGAGCCACAGTGAGGGTCTCTGACTCTCAGACTATATAAGGTTACAGATAAGAGCTGACTCTCTCACCTTCTTTTTTCTTTCTGATCTGAAGACTAGGACTCCCATCCGATTAGAATTTAGTTTCTGCATGGCAAGGTGGGATTATTAAGGCTTCCTTAGGGACTTCTGCATGCTAGGCCCCATCCTTCCCCATTCTCCTCAACAAAGCAGGCTGAGAGCCTTTACCTTTACTTTCCCCAGGGTGGGCCAATACTGGGGCTTTACTCCTCCAAACAATCAGAAGGATTATAAAGCAAAGTCTAACTGATTAAGACCACTAGAAATTGAATGGACGTTCTGTGACTGTGTAGTTTGCAACCTACTAACAAATCCTTGAAGTTACAACAATCTTGCCATTTCGGGCCTAGGCTATTCAGGATGCTCCAGCCTTCACATATATGATGGACTTTTTAAGACCGTCATGTGACAAGAAGACAGTTTTGAGTGTAGGTGGCACGTAGGAAAGTGAATGGGCTCTGGGGGCACAAAGAGCCGGGTTTGAATTCCAACATTGCCATTTCATTTCATCCCCATCTCACTGACTTGATGTGCAGCTTTTATGAGGTGAGCTCTATGAAGACTCAGTAGGGGACAGCTATTTGGATTTCCAACATTGGTCACAGCATGGTCACTCATTTTAATTCCAATCAGAAAAGAAGTTTCGTTTGCCAAGTTCACATTTCAGGTTGGGAAACATGGAAGGAAGGACACTCCCGGTCTCTAAAAGAATGTTGCTTGCTGCTAATTTTTAAAAATATATTCTCTTACATACGGATCTCTCCGATTTTCAGAGCTTCTCTGCAATTTGAAGAGCAGCCTTATTTCGTCCCTGCCTTTGAAGACCTTCGTGAAGATCTTCCCTCCTGGGCCACAGGAAGCCTGAAAGCGGCCATTACAACATGTGCTTTTCACGGGGCATCGCAGCTCAATGGCAGTGCAATTTGGGCCTGGGCGGTAACAAGGATTTCTTAACTGGCCATCCTGGTGAAAACGCTGCCTGTTTCTCAGGGTTTACTTCCTCTAAATAGAAAGTATTCAAACAGGGCATGGGGGGAAGGCCAAAAAAATGAATCGTGCCTTCCTAAAAACAAAAAGTTACAGTACATGAGCTTCATTTAGCCAGTGTTCACTGGGCACCTAGAGTACGCCAGGCCCTGTACTTTACAGGCTGCTCGTTGCTAAAACTTTAAATCAAATGGAATTTTACCTCCGTGGTTTCTTAGACTGAGAAGATGATTTAGAAACCCTTGTAGTCAGTGTCTACTGTTAATTGTATCCCGCTAATCCTGTATTCGTAAATCAACTAGTAAATTTAGTAAGATAAGGAAAAATAAGGCAGAGTTCAAGGCAAATTCTACTTGTTATTGACAGTTTGGATCACTTCCCTTCCCCCAAATATTCCGTGATTGCCAAATTAAGTATTAACTTCTCAGCTATACATTTAAGTCCTAGTTTACCAGCAAAGCCTTACCTCAGACACCTGCCCTTTACAATCCCCACATCCCCATCAAAGTAGATTGTCATTGCTCTCCTCTATAAATTATCTCTACTTAATAGATTTTTTAAGTCTGGTTAATATCAGACACATACATTGTATTAAGAGGAAAAACAGACGCTAGTCGTTACTCATGATCCAGTAGAATGGGTCTCACCAAGACATCAATCCCTAACTTTTCCAAGCTACCCTCTTGGGTGGGATCAGGAACTGCAAACAAATCCCAACAGAAGCCAAGTGTCATGCTCCTACGGGGCTTTCAAGAATGTCATTTCCTTACTATCTTCTTTGCGTTGGCCCATTCCATTTTCTCCATGTAGAATGTCTTTCTCTCTTATTTACATCTCCTAGTGGCTTGTTTGATCCTAACATGCCCATATTTGATGCCACCTTTTCGAAGAAGCCTTTCTTCATTCCCTGCCCCACCTTCATTCCCAATCCCTCCTTCTTTGATTCTCCCCATAGCCCCTTATTTCTAATGTTCTGCGGGACCCATCAGATTTTGCTTTGTATCATATTTATTTGAGTACATAGATCTAAGTAGATTCTAAATTCCTTGTTTTTCATCTTTGTATGATAACAACAATAAGAAATTCATATACCCTAGGTTACAAAGTTTCTTATATAATCTTTTTTTTCTTCTAGCAGAGTACATTTAGGGGCTCACCAAATTGTTGAAATGAGGGTTAAAAAAACCGCCCTGGGCATTTAGAAATCTCTGAACTCCTCAATTCCACGGACTCAATACCTCTTAGTTACCCTCATTATACTGTGTCTCATCGCTCCTTTATTCCACCTGCTTGGGATGTTAGCCACGAAGAGAATTTTCTCTGACTTAAAAATTTTGAAAAACATGGCACTGTAGGATTAATTCCCAAATCCCATGTCAGCCTCATAAAGTCCATAATATATTATATTATGTATGTCTGGCGTGTGTGTGTGGGCGCATGCGCATGCACACGCACAAGTGTTTTATGGCTCTTCTTGAGGTGTAGGTTGATTGTTTTTTTGGTTTTTTGGTTTTTTTTTAAAATGTCTGTTCCAAGTTAAATAGTTGTCCCAGGGAGCTCCATCAACAACTAATATGCAAATAAAATGGAGAATCAGGCATCCCTTGGCTTGTGAATATTGGACAGAGGTTGGAATCCTCACACTCCATTAGTCCGCTTTTCCTTAGAAAGGACATTTAGTGTGATGTCCTTTGAAAATTTTGAGAAGCGTCAACTTTATAAATGTTTGCTCTTACCGCGCTGGAACCCCTGAGGAAGGAGAGCAGATTTCGACAGACTGGCAGCAGAATCAGCATGCAGTTGAAATTCAGGCAGGCTGCAGGGGCCCTGGCCAATGGCAGCGCAAACTGGAAGATGTGGGATAGGAAGCAGGTAATTCCTATGAGCACAGAACACCCTTCCACCACTTCTCCAGGGTTCCCAGCATGAGGCCCACCAGAGACGTCAAGTTATCTGAGAAGGAAGATCCTTCAGAACTGAGAGTCTACCTGGAGGGCCTGCTGGGATCCTTCGTTTTAATTTGGCCCTTCTCTCCCAACCCAACATTTTACTATGAAAATTTTCAAACGTAAAGAGAATTTGAAATAATGTCACAATGAACACCTGTTTTCCCATCTCCCAGGTTCCACCATCACATAGCTGCCCATCCATCTACCCATCCCTCTAGCCATCCATAGATACATCTTATTTTTGATGCATTGCAGGCATCAGTTCACTTCCACCCTAAATACTTAAGCATGTGTATCATTAATTAGAGTTCAGTATAGAAACTGGGGCTTTCTAAAGAAGATTTTCTTAATTCTCAGACTCACTTCAGCAGTAACTTAAGTTGGTCTCGTGTAATGCTTTGGCATTATAATTATTCTTTGTAATGCCTAAAGAAGTTGCATATTTTGGAGGAGAAAGCAGAGGGAAATCACCCTTCTCAGTATCAGCCGGAATTAGTTAACAACAATTATAATAGTGCAGTATTATTACGTATTATAATTATTTATACAGATGATATATGATACCTATTATAATTAGTGTTAAGTCATGAATTCACGGTTTCAGCATGATGTAACAAATGGTATCCTGTGGGGGCGGCTGTCATTGTAATTATTCTCATTTGTCATGAAGCAGAGTCCTGGCAGCTCAAGGAAATCAAGAATGCTAATGGACCCAGGCAAAGTTGGGGGCTTTCACTCTGCTGGCCTAGTCAATGAATATGACCCTTGGGCAAGTTCCTCAAAGGCTCCATCTGAGGGAGAGGCTTATTTCCTGAAGGTCATTTCACTACATGTCACTGGGAGCAGGGCTCTCCATTCACAAAAGTTATCAGGAATCACATGCTTTAAAGAATACGGGAAGTCTCACTTGTCCCACTTGTGTCACCCTTGGATCAATCTCCAACTTTGCCTGCAATTCCAGGGTTCGCATTAGATGTCTTCTTTAAGCTAAACAGTGGCACAGTAGTTCTTGGCATGGGAGGGATGCCGCTGGGACTCCCTGACACACTTTAGTTTATCTCACACTGGAAGGCCTAAAGACTCTTGCCCAGGGGGTTGCAAGGGAGGGAGCGAGGCCAATGGTGCCGTTTGGGTTGGTCAGAAGATTTATTTAAAGTGTTGAAAGGAATATGAACCAGAATCTTTGATTAGAAATGTAAGCCAGTCAATATTGCATGAGATGGAACTTATACTTACCCCAAGAAGTTTTCGAGTGTAATAGAACTGAGGTCTAGAGAAATATATCCCATAGAACTGGATAAAGAGGAAGACGTTCATCCCCAGCCACACCAGCTGCAAAAAGAGAAATAGTTGCATGAAGTTTCCACATTTCAATCGGTAGATTTCACACAAGATTGGAGTCAGACTAGGGTCAGGACTTCCCCAGTCTAGCCTTCAACAAAGGTGGTTACACATCTGGGTGTAACCAGCTGCAAGTCAGCTCTTGCCTACAACAGTGCCACTACACTTCGTGATTGACATGTCCACCTTGCGTTGTTCCCCATGATTGTTCTACTACTGGCCAGGATGCCAGGTCATTAACAATCTCCCTCCCCTCTGTTGTTTTCTTCTTAACTAGTAGCAGGTGAATCTTCTCGAAAAGAGAGGGGAAAGGAATAGGTGACTATACGGTCCCCCGCACCAGTAAGACACTGTGTTCTACTCTCACGGGTGCCGTCACCTTCCTCCAGCACACAGCACCCCACCCCAGCCAGTGGGAGTCACATCAGCTAAAACGTCAAGCCTTTAATTCTATTTGGGAACTTTTGCTTAACTTTTGAAAGAGGGACTATTGAACATGAACGAGGGGGTGAGGGGCAGGGTTTTTTTTTTTTAAAGCGACCCTTCTACCTTTTGACTGCTCATTTCATCCCAAGCACTGACCACATACATCAAGATCTTTTCTTACTTGTGCTTTAACGCCATTAAAGGTCCATAGGTGCTTGAGAACGATCTCTTTATGAAGAAGGTATTAAAACAACTTCTCCATTCCCTAACCTTGTCATTCTTACTCTTGCTTTCCAGACTGTGTCTTTACTGTCAAGCATATGAGTGTGCAATTTAGGAGGAGGTCATCTCCTGGGGAAAACTGTGCTAGGAGCCAAAAGCATAATATGAACTTGTTTTCTATAGGAGTAATCTGTTTTCAAAATGGTGGTAAGAAATCAAGTTAACAGTATTCTATATTGCATTAGAATGTTGGTTTGGCATAATTTTTTAATGACACAATATTTCTTATTTTTCTTTTATTTGCGCCCCCAATTCCTCTCTGTGTCTACAACTCTAAGACTCAATTTTACCTCATGATAAATTCTTTCAAAAATTCCCCACTCATAGGTGTTCTTTTTAACATCAGTACAATACTTTCATTGGCTATTTGGAAAGGTTATTTATAAATCACATTTCTATCCTCCCAATTGTCCATGATTGCTTTGCTGAGACTGCCATCTTAAATTAATAGTTGGTCCTTGTTATGGTAAAAAACTAAAGAGATTAACACATCTATTTGAAAATTAGCCCTATCTTTACTTACAAAAATTGTTTCTCAAGATAGATTAGATTGATTTATATATATAGTCATATATAATGTATATAATATATCCACTGTATATATGAGTCTAGTTTATTTCAATTTCCTTCCTTGAATTTTTATAAACCTCATAAACAACTCAAGTTTACCTCAGAGGAAAAAAAAAGTACTTTTTAAAAAAGAAAGTTGAGAACTTCAATTATTTTTGCTGTAATCACTGAAATAAAGGCCATTTCCCATACATGAGCCAATTTTGTACCTGTTATTTGGAAAATGGTGTAAAATTAGGATTGCCGATTTTTAAATGGTATAAGCACATAAAAAGTAGAGAATTTACCTCTGAGTAAATATTGATAAACAACTTAGACTCGGAGATCATTAGCATGAAATGTCTTCTACCCCCTCTGCAAAATGCTGGCTGATTTAGTACTCCCAAAGAGTCAAGAAATAGAGTAGGTGAAATGAGCCCCCAGATACATTCTTTTCATTAATAAGTTTGGAAGAGTGCACTCAGTCCCGCTTACAGATAGACGTATGTTCACACAGTAAATCAGTTTCAATACAATTTCTCAAAGAAACAAAACAAACAAACAAAAAGTTTTGCCCTATTTTAGTTTCCCAGAGAACCCAGACAAGTTCGAGAATTTATCATTTCTCTCTCACTGGTACTTACAACGACAAAGATGGAGAGCCCCTCATTCTCAATCCAGTTCCCCATGGTGATGGAGGTTCAATGCCTTGTGTCTGCTTTTCTTCTCTGCTCTGCTTCTTCTTCCCATGAGGAAATGAAAACAGCAGCCTGGGGCAATCAGTTTCCTTTTCTATTATCAGAAATTAGCTAATCATTGGTCAACTGAAAATCTTGTTTCCATAAGAACCTTAAATCTTTAAACCACAAAAAGCTGCAGAAAAAGGGTCTGTAATAATCTAATCATAACTAACCATAGTAGGAAATGAAACCAATTTCTACAACTGAGAGACAAGTAACAGTCCAATGATGGGATATATTTGACACATGGACTTGACTTTTTGACTGATCAGTTACTAAATAGCAATTTGTAAAAAGTCACTCAACTAGCCATGACTTCGTGCTGGATAAAAATCATTAAATATCTTTTGACAGGCTGAGCAGCATTTTACAGTCTTGTTGAGAAGAACAATAACAATAATGATGGTTGATATTTATAGCATGCTTACATCGTGCCAATTTTCTAAGATACATATGTGTGTGTGCATACATATATATTTACCTAAGAATTGATACATATATGTCTGTGTAAACACATACATATATTAAATTCAGTATACAAATAAATTCACTTGATTCTAACAATTCAACCCTTATAAAGTAGTTTTTTTAAAAGGTTTTTTGATTTTTTATTTAAATTTTGTTAACATACAGTGCAATATTCGTTTCTGGAGTAGAATTCAGCGATTCATAAAGATTTTATTTTTAAATAATCTTTACATCCAATGTGGGGCTTGAACTCACAACCCCGAGATCAAGAGTCACATGCTCTACCGACTGAGCCAGCCAGGCGCCCCTAAAGTAGTTTCTACTACTATGATTACACTTACAGATGAGGAAATTGAGACCCAGAACACTTACGTTACTTGGCCACGGTCATGCAATTAGGAAATAGTAAAGTTGGGATTTGAAATCCAAGTACTTTGGCTATACTTCTAACCAGATGCCAGGAAAAAAAAAAGGCCTAACTGTGTCAACCCCATCCAAAATCACTCCAAATACAACTACAGGAAATAAAAATATAACAAATACAGCAAAATGTTTGGATGACTATAGTATTCCTAGGAAGACATGACATCCTCTAGGCTAGGTATGTACACAGGGTCAAAACAAAGGTATATCAGATGTGGCTGATGCCAAAAGCCAGATTTAGCATATTTTTTTTTTTCCTGACTACTACTCTGTCTTCAGGACATGAAAGGGTAGGAGGTAACCTACAGAAGGGTAGGATGGTAACCCCAGTATGAGATGAAAGCTGACAAATTACACAAGGGTGGTTATACAACAGCTATAGGTAATGAAGAGGTAAAAGCAGAACTAGCAGGGCCAAATGGGAATGAGAGAATCAACAAGAGGAGAAGCATGGACCGTTTTGGTTGTTGTTTATTTATGAACCACTTGAGACAGCCTACAGAATTAGGACAATTGGCAAAGTAATACTATTTTGCACTTAATATTTAAGGAAAGGTATTAAACCGTGACCTTCTCCATTGCTCTTGGATCATGAGTAACCCACGTAAAGGACAGACAGCTTCATGGTTCCATTCCACACAGAGGTGAATTCAAAGAAACACAGTTAGACAATGAAAACATGTGCCCATTTTTGCCTCTTTGCACTGAGATCTACCCCCACCCTTTCCTTGCTCTGCTCCGTTTCAGGGAGAATTGCATTTGCCAGGCTCCTTGGCCCTCTGGCTTCTGGTGTGGTCAGCCCAGCAGGAGGATGAGGGGCAGGAGAGAAGCCAGGGTGTTTCTCCCCCCAGCTCTCTGCTTCAAGTGGCATCTCGGAAGCGGTTGCATTTCCACGAAGGCTCCAGCTCCTGCCAGTCAGCCTTTCCTTCTCGAGCTTGAGCTCCTGCTGACCATCGCTGCCGCCGGAGTTCTGGCCCCTACCAGATGGCCCTGCCTTCTGGGCTTGAGCTATATCACCTCCTTCCGGTGTCCCTCCAACCCCGAGGGTGGTAACCACTTCCTGTAGTTGTTCATCTTTATGTTGCCTCCACAACCATGTGGGGATTCTGCACTTTCCCGTCAGCCATACAACAAATTCCTAGTATGAAATTCACTGTGTTAAAATGTGGTGCTTTGGGGGCGCCCAGGGGGCTCAGTCGGTGAAGCGTCTGCCTTCAGTTCAGGTCATGATCCTGGGGTCCTGGGATCGAGCCCCACATCCGGCTCCCTGCTTCTCCCTCTCCCACTGCCCCTGCCCTCCTGCTTGTACTCTCTCTCTCTCGCAAATAAATAAAATCTTTAAAAATAAAATAAAATGTAGTTTGTTTTTCAGACTGGACTTTGCCTGATACACAAAATGTAATTGAGGCATGTACTCATTTTCTCATGTAATTAAAGAAGTGAGGCAAGGAGGAATAAACCAGCTTAAACATCTGCTCTCCCTGTCTCTGCCCGGCTCAGGCTCCTCCACAGGGGAGGGGGGGGGACGGGTACTGCAAACAGCGGCTCCATCAAGCTCTGTGAAACTTTTCAAAATCTTCTCCTCTCCACTGGTCCCCCTCTTCTCTTCCCCCAGCCTGCTGCTTCATCTTCCTTTATCCCATCGGAATCTTCAAGCCTCTCCCACATTTTCTCACTGACCTCCTGATGCCTGTGCTCTGCTGGGGAGGCAATGCTAAGGGGAGCATGAATATTCATATACTAAGAAATAATGCTCTTTGTTTCACATAAACCTGTTTCTTGAACGTTTTCCAACTCTCTTCCCCTCCGTCCATGAGTTGTGAGAAAATGCAAAAGAGAAAGAATATTTTCCGTGGATAATCAAGCATTCCCTCCCATGGCTTTTGTCCCCCCTTGTAAAAGTAATCACAGGGCTGTGAGTAGAGATTTCTTGAGAGCCTTAAGGACCTCAATCAGTTTCACAGCTGGAAGAAGAGAGATCAGTTGCAAAAAAAAAAAAAAAGAGTAAAAGCTTTCTTTTATGGAAAGTACTTTCCCTTTTGAGAACACTGTTCAAGTACATTGTAATGTGCACCGCTCTTGGAAAGACAGAGGGTTTGATAAAAAAGCAACAGGTAATGGTTGACTGGGATTGACTGGACATGGAGAATAAAGAAAATTGAATCTCTGTATCTTCTCCCAGCCACTTTGGCTTCCACTGTTTCCTAAGCTCTTGGTGTCAAGCCAGACTGTGGCGAATAGAACGCAGTACTCACCCTCCCAGTAAGCAGTCATGAGTAACACCCTCAGATGTGATTGAAATCCTAGACACTTCTGGCTGAGAAAAAAAGATGAAATAAGCAGACCCAAGTCTCCAGGAAATTCCCTGATGGTGCATCCCAAGGAAAGGTATAACTCCTTCTTGATTTTTCAAATTAAATTGGGCTTCTAATTTATTCCCAGAAGTAGGTGTGAAATTGCTGAAGAAGAGATGTGTTTCCCAATGTGTTTTGTTCCTGGTGATGAGGAGAAATGGATTTCTGTTCCCTTTTTTTTTGAGAGTGAGCGCGCGCATGTGCACAGAGCGGGTGGCAGGGGTGGTGAGCACAGGGTGGGGAGGGGCAGAGGGAGACGGAGAGAGAGAGTCTTAAGCAGGTTGGACGCCCAGTGGGGAGCTAGACGTGGGGCTCGGTCTCACAACTCTGAGATCATGACCTGAGCCAAAGTCCGATGTTTAACTGACTGAGCCACCCAGGCGCCTTGATTTCTGTTCCTTTTTTCTCTGCTGTGTGTGCTGTTCTTTCAAGAACTGCCATGCTCCCACTCTATGTTTCTATGAGTTATGCGGCCCCACTTTCTTTGCCTAAGTATGACCAGTGAGGGGACTTCATCTCCCTGGACACAGTATTTGTCCCAGGGGTGTGCACTCGACCCAAAGAAGGCCATTTAGAGTTCTTTGCCTGAGGGAGGAGTCATTAGGGACTCTGGAGTACAGAGGGTGAAGCTTTTCTATCTTGGTGCTGGCAGTTGCCATAGACTCTATTATCTTGTGCTAAGAAGTTGCGTAAGAATGCCAACACAAAATCAAATCAGAAGCTAGGGAAGGCTGGAAAGGTTTGGAGACAGATACGATGACAATGTTTGAATTCTCAGGTCTGATGTGCCTGAGACACTTGGACATCTTAGTTATTCCTATAGACTGGGTTTCCTAGGCTGGAGATTAGCGTTTGGGACTTTTATTAGAAAGTGCCTTTGGGGCGCCTGGGTGGCTCAGTTCGTTAAGCGACTGCCTTCGGCTCAGGTCATGATCCTGGAGTCCTGGGATCGAGTCCCGCAATGGGCTCCCTGCTCAGCAGGGAGTCTGCTTCTCCCTCTGACCCTCCTCCCTCTCATGCTCTCTGTCTCTCATTCTCTCTCTCAAATAAATAAATAAAATC